TTTTCAGTGATTTGTGCTTCAGATTTCTCATGTAAGAAAAGCATATGATATTTAGCTCTTATGCCTGAGTTATCTCACTTAGCACTATGGACTCAGGGTGCATCCATCTTTTACAAATGATACAAAGTAAGCCTTTATGGCTGAGTAGTCTTGCACTGTGTATAAATACCATGTTTTCTTTGTGCATTCATCTGTTGATGGATACATAGGCCACTTCTACAAGTCAGCTTTTTATGAGTTGTCCTGCTATAAACATGTGTATGCATGTATTGGTGTAATAGGATGTCTTTAACTCTTTTGGGATGATACACAGAATAGGTATAGTTGGGTCAAATGGAGTTTCTACTTTTAGTTTTTTGAGGAATCTCCATACTGCTTTCCATAGTGGTTTTACTAGTTTACATTACCACAGACAGTGTAAAACTGGTCCCTTTTCCCCCAAACCTCCCCAACATTTGTTATTTTCTCAGAGCATAATCATGGCCATTCTCTCTAGACTGAGATGGAATGTCAGTGTTGTTGTGATTTGCATTTCTGTAATTGCCAAATGTTGAACATTTTCTCATGTACCTATCAAAGGCCTCACTTCGTAAGACCGTTAGGTTCTAACATCAGTGCTGGGATGCCATTATTCAGACCATGGCATGGCCAGAGCAGCGAGGAAGATGGAGCTGGCATTTGCTGAGCTGGGCTCTTTGCAAGCAGGATATTTGTAACAGCTAAAGCAAGAGAAAGCAGGAGTCCTGGAACCTCGTAGGTTTGAGGTGCTTTTTAAAGCCATGTGGACATACTGAGAAGACATTACAATATGTAAGTCTGAGGTGTCTGAAAGTGGTCAAAACTGTCTGGGACACTGATAGTATTTAACTCCTGAAGTCAGATAAAATCTTCTGGAAAACTAGAGGGGAGGAGATCTAAGGCATAGCCATACTCGCACAGTCACAGAAGGAGGCTGCAGAGAGGAAAAGAACCAACAAATAAGGCACTGAGACACTACTCAAGGACAAAGCCCCCTGAGATTAGACAGAGGAGGTCTCTGTAAATATGCTGAGACAACCCACTGTGGCTAAGCTGACTGATCTCTACTGTCCTTAGTCTTACACTGGACAGGTCCTCAAAATGTGCCTCTGTCAACACTGAGCTAGAAGTGCAGATGAGACCTGCACATGATACCAAAGAACGAGAATAAGACAAACCACAAAACTCTGCAAATGTACACAGATGACCAATATCCTATGAATATTCCAAATAAGTGTTTCCCTAGCCATGCGTGGTGGTGCACGCCCGTAATCCCAGCACTCAGGTGGCTGAAGCAGGAGGATCACTGTGGCTACATAGTGAGTTCCGGGTCAGTCTCAACTACATAGTGAGGCCCTGTCTCAAAAAACCAAAAAAAAAAAAAAAAGTGTTTCCCTATGATCTTAGGACAAGTGGAAAAAAAAGGAATTTAAAATGGAAATAGCCCACAGGAAGATGAAAGAAACACGAAAAGAGATGAGACAGCAGGATATGAAGGAGGAGGGAGATGTTTTCATAAAAAACGAAAGCCACATCCAAGGCAGAAATAAAATGAAAAAACAAATGCAAGCCACATTAGCAGTGACAACAGACTCTAGTCTGATGTTGACATTGTCAGGCTTATGAAAAATAAGTTCAGTAATACAAAGGAACTAACCCAAAGGAAGAAGAAGGAAACAACAATGTAAGTCATACAGAGACGACGCAAACATTGCTTTCCTGGAAAGGCAAAGGAAACCAAGTGGAATAAAATATTTAAAGGCAATGTACAAGAAAAGTCCTGAAATAAATGAAGACAAGAATTTGTATACCAAGTCCTAGGAAGCATAAGATATATTAAATGTAAAATGCATCAAGAAGAAAGAGGAAAAACTAAAACAAGAAAAGTATCATCAGGATGAATGCCTTTGTTCACCACAACATGGAAGGCTTTCACCTGTTTAAGATTTTCTACACATAAAAAAAAGACTTTCTACACATAAAGGCTAAAAGACAGGAACAGTTGTTAAAATATTTAATAAGATTTCTACACATAAAAAAAAAGACTTTCTACACATAAAGGCTAAAAGACAGGAACAGTTGTTAAAATATTTAATAAGATTTTAGTCCTATATAAGATCAATAGTAAACAATGCATTTGTATATAACAGCAATAAGAGTTACCTCATGTGATGTAAATAGAAATGTAAACAGCATATTTATATTTATATCATGTCTGAGCATTAAAAATATACATTTTATCAAGAATTAAATCTAACAAAAGATGACCTAAGACTTTTTGGAAGAAATTCAGTTTTTCGTTGTAAGATATATGAATTGAAATAGGTAAAATTTCAGGAGGACAAAGACTGTCTCTTAAGTGCCCTACTTTCAGGTAGCCACAATGAACTACACGAAGACAAATAACATATTGTGATAAACATACCACTACTGTCTACTGATAACTTTTCAAGTAGATTCTGTAATTTACACAGAAGCACAGAGACTGGCAACTAACACGGGCATGACTGGAAAAGAAAACTCAGGTCAAGGACCCTTCTACACACGATCATTGCTGTTGCGCTAGTTTTTCACTTACCTGTAACAAATTACCGCAAACTCACTTGGTGTAAAGCAAGATGCGTGTGTAGTTCAGCAGTTTCTGCGAGCCAGGCGTGGCTCAGCTGGGTCTCTTGATCAGCTGCAAGGTAAATGTCGGCTGAGCTTCGGTATCACCCGGGAGACTTGGCCAGGGATCTAGTCAACCTCAGGCTAGAGTCTGAGTTCAGTATTATTTGCAGCTGCAGAGCTAATGGTGGAGGGCTTCTTCAGAGCAAGGGAGAATAGTCGTCGTGAGGAAAGTTCCAGCCATTCTTTGAAGTGCTCTAAGATCCAGCAGGGTGATCTGTCTTTGTGTTAATTTGAAATGAGTAGATTCAGTATAATGATGACACTTACAGAACACACTTAACCTTTTCCATATGAAGTAACGTAATAAAGGGAGTGTCACGTCGTGTTCTGCTGGTTAAGACGAAGTCATGGGGTGCCCGGGGTTCAGCTCCGTGGTTCCGCCGCCTGCCTCGCAAGCGCAAGGTCCCGAATTCGATCCCCGGTACCAAAAACAAAAAACGAAACAAAAAATAACCACCACAACAAAAAAGAAGTCATGGGTCCTGGCACGGCAGGAGGATGGAACTAGAACAGCAGTAGCTAGGTGGAGCTCACTCCGTGTGCATCTCCTGTGCCTACAGCAGTTAGGGTCGTGTGGTCGTTGTGATGCATCCGTGAGTCTAAAGAGATCCGTGTGAGCATGAGCATGTGACAGAGGAGACTGTTGATGGCAGTGGTGATGTCGTGACAGCCAATTGATTTGATTTGGAGAAGAATCAGCTGCATATAAGGACAAGGAGAGCAAAGGAGCAAATTTCGTATAAGACTTGAACTTCACTAAGTGAACACATTGTCAAGGGTGACACAAACTGCATGAACAATGAAATAACAGCTTGATACATTCAGTTTCTCTAAAATTAAGACTCAGGCGGGGGATTTAGCTCAGTGGCCACGCCTGCCTTGCAAGTGTAAGATCCAGAGTTCAATCCTCAGTACCAAAATATTAATTAATTAATTAATTAAGAACTTTTCCTGAATGGTGCCATAAGCAAATAAAAAGACGTCAAGGGAAAAACCTGAAGAATAAGATATAGGCATCGTCTGCGCTCAGCATTGGTGCACACTGTCTGCTAATTAATAACAAGTCAGAACTTGGCTGACCGTAAATGACACAGAATAAACGGCTTTGAAATGGCATGCTGCAAGTACACTCTGGGAGATGTGGCTAGTCCTCGGGCAGGTGCACCACGTTGGAAATCTGTCTTTGAGTGTCCACTCTTTGCACCACCATGGAATGGTAAATTCAGAACAGACTAGCTCTAAAACAGCCACACTAGAAATATATTCGCACGTCACAGCTAAGCTTTCTCATAACTTTCTGGGAAGATCACTCTTCCTTAAGCAGGATTACATTTTTTAAAATAAGATAATTTTTCTTGGCAATTTTTTAAACAAACCTAGAATTTTAAAACTAAAACTTTGCTTAGATATCAGTGATCGTATGAATCTGACCCAAAGGCTGAGTGCCTGAGGCTGAAGGGAGGAAGGATTCCAGTGAGGAAGGTGGGAGACAAAACTCTCAGCAGCTGGTAGGCATTGTTAGAAAAGAAAGAACACCGCTCATCATCATCCTTTCCAATACTAATTTATTATCTATCCACTCACTCATTAAAATAACGTTTTTACAGGCTGGGGATTTAGCTCAATGGTGCCACACTTGCCTCACAAGCGCAGGTCCTGAGTTTGATCCCTGATACTGCAAAAAAACAAAATAACATTTTTACAAATGTAAAATTTAGTGAAATAAATAACAAGGTCTTTAAATGAATCATGTCCTTGGATTTACACTGCTCCATGTATTGTGAGTACAGAACAAACTTGTACATATGCCTCAGTGTGGACTTATCTAAGTAATACAAGAAAACCCTGCACTTACTCTCATGGTCCTCGTGGGTAGATAACTTCTCTTATCTCTGCCTCGCCAACTATCTGTGAATAGAGCCTTCCTCTCTGGAAAATTCTCTGCCTTCCACACCACCCTTGGGGGCTGCCACTTTATCTCCTGGCTTTCCCGAGCTGAAGTTTACTTGTCCAATGATGGGCAATCAACCAATAAGCCAGTTGTAGTGTCCCATACCACTGACTTTATCTAACTCTGATTTGTCTGAAGTTGACCCTGTCAGAGTCCATCAAAGGTGGAGAGTGTGGAACCAAAGAGAGCAAATGAATGTCAATCTCTTCTTGGTGGTGAGAACTACCCGATAAGAAACTGATGGATGAAAAATGAAAAAGGGAAGAAGAGTAAGAGAAAAGGAAAGGAAAGGAAAGTTCTACCTATTGTACTGCGGTGTTTCAAAACACATAATTTTTCTTCACAACCATGTTCAACATGGAACAAATTATTAATATATTCAATGCTAAAAACCAATTTTTGAAGATGGGTGTTCGCCTAATAAAATAAATAAAACAAGTCTTTGGGATTTTCAAAACCTTGCTTTCCCCACAGCCTTCCCTCTGAAAATGTCTATAGGATTCAAGGGTCGTTTTGCAACCTCCGTCCATCATCGATAGCCTCACACACACCTCCGCCCGTGTGCCCAACACCCTGTCTCTACCACAACACCCTGTCTCTCATGCACGTGTCTGCCAACACACCGCCGTGCCCACTGTGATGGTGGCTGCAGCCTTCCTGGTAAGGTGCTCAGCTCCAGGGGAGGCAGAGCCTGAGGCACGATGTCCAGGCAGACGTCTGAGGGGCGAATGGGTGTGCTGATCCCAGTGTGAGGCAGCCCGTTGCCTCAGGCAGGAGAAAGCAGATGGATTTGCTGAACCAAATATGCATCTGCTTTGTAACTGTGTATCTGTTACACAAGGTACTGGCAATGGTAGTAACTGCAGAAATTATTCCAGTCTTTGAAAAATCCATGTTCTCTATACTCTTAGGGGGATTTATTGTATTTTATTTTTGTGTTTGCTTTTCTTGTCCTACAATTAGAACTCAAATTTTATGTACAAATTAGAAGGAATTTTTAAATATTATAATTCAATAACATTTCTTCAGAAAATGATTTATCTTTGGCATTCATTTTATTTAAAAACAATTGTTGTGGTCTTTCATTGCTTCAGGTTAATCATACTGATTCCTTTGTACTGAAATGTTAATTTGCTTAAAAATTTAAATCTTTATTGGAAAATAGACTCAAAACTGATGTTGCTATCAACAGTCCTCGATATTGCTACAACCAAACAACACATCCTGCAAAGCATTTCTAGTTTAAAATCATTGTCATGAGGGCTCAGTCTCCTTGTCAACCTTCTAAATAAAATTGGGACTCTAATGATGTTCTGTTCACTCACCAAATGTTAAGTGATTGCTTATCATTAGACGACAACACTAAATAAAAGGGATATAGTATGTACCCAAATGATTTAGTTTGAAGACAGACATTACATTGTTATGTTTTATACGTTATGACTATTGGGAGGGAGTTCAGGGAAGACTTCCTGGAGAATTAAGTTGATATTCAAAGACGCGGGACTAGGAGGAGCAACTTAATGCGTGCATAAGGAATAGAAGAACACTGCAGACAGAGGAGAGGGATTCAGAGTTCTCTGGGCAGGGCCTTAGCCGGTCTGAGGACCTGGGCTGACTCAATGCCAGCAGTGTAGAAGGCGATTAAGGTGGAGTGACGCAGACTACAGGAAAAGCATGACCATTGTGCAAAGACAGCAAGATGTTGAGGAGCATAAAGACAAGGGTATAATGATATTTATAATTTCATAAGGGTCCTTTCAGTGGCAAGACAGAATAGTCTGGAACAGAGAAGGACTGATTGCTAAAAAAAACAAGCTTGGGCCTCTGATAAGAGATAGTGTCTTGGACTAGGTGAGAAAGGATTTGAGAGCAATGTAGCAGCTAGAGCCACTAAGAAAAGCAACGGAGGAGTCAAAGATGGCTTCTGGTTTTTCCACTTTAGCAAATAAGAGAAAGACCTGAATGAAAAGCCATGTCCAAGTGTGGAAGATGCGATAGTTCAGGGCTGACATGATGGGCTTTGGGCACTGGAGGCCGAATCTAGCTGTCTGAAAGGTAGAGGATTCAAATGAGGACGACAAAAGACAAAACCTCAGCTGAAGGTAGCCTAAAACATAAATGAATATTTGAGAATGAAATATACAGTCCATAAAGCACGTGCCCACCTCATATCCCCAGGGAAGATTCTGGAGTCTCTGGTAATACCTACACTGCTTCCAACTTCTGTGTGGCACGCTTTGCTTTAATACGAGAGAGGAGAATGTTATGAAATGATTTCTTCTTTTTAATGGTCTGGTACAGCCTAAATGCTGGATTTCTAAAAGGATAAAGTATGTGAACAAATATTAAATGAAATGTAAAGTGCAAAGTTAGTAAGCTGAAATTTCTGATATGAAATAAAAATATAAAAATCACTATGCAAATCTATGTTATATGATAACTCTGTTATTATTGGAAAATGCCATACATCCATAAAATGGCCCTGGGTCTGTTTGAGGGTTGCTTATTACCCTTGACTTTAACCACACAGCACACAGATGGACTGTACTAATAACAGCTTATCAAGTCACAGCATATCTGGAATAGACTGCAGGTCTGTCAGTCTGTCTGCCGACTGATACACTTATTTCTGTGTTCTTCCCAGGGGCAGTAAAATGCCTTGCAAAGCCAAGGATACTATCAAAGTACAATTGCAGAACAGCAGCACTTTAATCAATTTTTCTGACTTGATGTTGCTGCATTTGTACATTTTTATTCAAGTCATTCATTTTGCAAAATAAATTATAAATTCTTTCCCTGAACTACTTCTGACCTCTGGAAGCTGACTAAATTTTGGCAATGTTTTGCTGCAGGTGACTACGTTGTCATGACTATCTACTTTGAGTTAAGTAGAAGAATGGGTTACTTCACTATTCAGACATACATCCCCTGTATACTCACTGTGGTTCTATCCTGGGTGTCTTTTTGGATCAAAAAAGATGCTACACCAGCGAGAACTGCACTGGGTAAGTTTCAAAAGTCTTTTATGTGATTTTAGTGCAGAAGTATTCATAAAGATGCCTTCAACTAAAGCGACAGTTCAAATGCAAGTGATCTATCTGGAGAGCTACTTGAACCATATGTTGAATGTTTTAAGTATCTAAGTGAGGTTGCTCTTTCTAATGATGGAATTCCATGTGTACTACTCAAACTAAGGTGGATTAGGAATTCACAGTAAGTCAGCTACATTATTTGACGCTAAGCTTTAAGGTTGATGTCATCAGAAAAACATTGGTGTGTCCCAGATCCTGCCAACTCAGAATCCTCACCACTGCAAGACGATCAAACAGAATTTGCCACAGACCTTTGAGTACAGAAGACACAATCTTTGCAAATTATTCTCTCAAAAAGAATCTCTGCTATGTGCTACAGCTTTGGCAGCAAACAGGAAACTGACCATTCTTGTCAGAAGTAATCCACACACCTGAGTCTTCTCACGAGTTTTCCTGTGGTCCTCCAGTTCCCCTTAACATAACTCTAACTTGCAGTAATTTTAAAAATGTGCAAAACCTTATTTCAGTTTTAATAAGGATTGTCCCTTACTTTCAGAGTTTTGTGGCAGGTAATGATATGAGACTGAATATAAAAGTTGTTTTCCCCAAAATATTTTCTTCAAGAGAGACGAAGCTGTCTCGATTCCAACTCTTTGCAGAGTCCATCATATTACCTCGTGCTTTCCCTGTTTGATATTTAAGCTTTATTTGTTTGACAGCTGAGCACATTTGCTTGAGATTAGTTGGCTTGGAATGTATTCTGCCTATATTCCTTTGCATTGTTACAGAAAATATAGGGTAGAATTGGTAAATTAGCAGGCAAAGGTATTAATACAAATTTATTAAGTACTACTAGGGTTCTGCTGTCAGAGTTACAAATGCTAGGTGTCATTATAAGCAAAACTTTTAAAGTTTAGTTCAAAACAATATAGTATGTAGTTCTGTTTGCATTACTTTTGTTGTGAGAGCAAGCAGAGATAAATGAATTATGTTATAAGATGCCCAGAGGTGTAGAGGAACTTTACTAATACAACCATATTTAATAGACACTGCCACTTTAGAGCTTCTTTCAATAGAGTTTGAACCAAGTCATGACAAGATCAAGAGCAATAACTAGTAAAATAGCTGTCATAGGAAAGCAATCAATATGCTTTCTAAAATATAAAATATAGTCCAGACTGCTTATAATGTATCCTGCACATTGGTAAGCATATAATGAATATTATGGTACATTCCAAGAAGCAAAATAACGTTCCAAGATACATTTCAAGAAGCAAACATGATAATATGGTAATGAAAAAAGACCAGTTTGACATTAAATCAACAGACATAAAACTTTAAAACAGATATTATAGCAATGTTCATGGCCTTGAAGAAAAATAGAATCTTAATGAATGAAGAGATTAAATTCTCTCAACAAAGAAAACGCAGAGAAAAGATATTTAGAATGAAATGTGTAATATGTGAATGAACTTCAGATTGAAGGCGGCAGGGGAAAAACCTTTGGAAATGTAAATATTATCATGTAAAATGCATCTAATGTGAACAGGAAAGGATAAAATTTTTAAATGAATAGAGCCTCAGTAAGCTGCAGTATACAATGAATATTTATAACATACCCATAATAACTGTTTCCAAAATAAGAAGAGAAAAAGTATTATGCCAAAGTTTTTTAAGAAATAAAGCAAAAAATAATCAAATTTAGTAAAAGCCACCAACCTGTAAATAATAATAGCTTAGTGAAATCCAAACAGGTGAAATACAAAGAAAATCATTATCATCCAACTGTGAAAAGCAAACAAAATCTTGAATGGAGGAGCACAATTAATGTCGGTGGCTCATCTCTCCTATGCAACGATGAAGGCCATAATATCGCAAATGGTCACCCTTAAACTACTGACATTTAAGGAAAAAAACCTACCCACCTAAAATTCTTTATCCAAATAAACGATATGTACTTCCAAGACCTTGTGAGAATAAAGACATTTTTATGAAACAAACATTGAAAGAATTGTCACAGAAATTCGAAGCCACAGTAAAAATACTAATGCCAGTTAGTGGAAACAAACCAAACAGAAAACTAAGTGTCAAGTACCAATATCAAATCAATAAATGTTACATTACAAAGGAAGATACCTGCTTATATATGTGTCAATACACACAAGCATATTAACAAAATAAGAAATATTCACAACATCACAGTCCTCATTTCTGCAACTGGTCACATGCCCATAGCTGGTATTTTTCCCCATAAGTTTATTGCTACATCTTATGTCTACATCATGATCACACTCATCACTGGGCATTTGCCCCAGTATGTGATACATCTTGGTTCTTGTTTTTTCCACTCTCTTTCCCTCCCTTCAACCCTTCCACCCCTCCCTATTTACAAAAGCTTTGTTTCTGTTTTTTTCCTCATCTCATATTTTTTTCTTTCCCCCACTCCCCTTTCTACTTCCCCTTCCCCTTTGAGCCTTTTCTTCCTGTTTCACATTATCTATTATACATTTTGGTCCTCATTTACACTTTCGGTTTCTCACACCAGAGAAATAATTCAGTATCTAGGAATCAATCTAGCCAAAGAAGTAAAAGACCTCCACTTTTAATATTACAGCACTCTGAAAAAAGAGATCAAAGAGGATATCAGAAAATGGAAAGACATCCCTTGTTCTTGGGTAGGAAGAACTAATATAGTGAAGATGGCCGTACTTCCAAAACTGCTATATAGATACAATATAATCCTGATTGAAATTCCAACAGTATATTCCACAGGACTAGAGAAAACAATCTAAAAATTCATCTGGAACTAGAAGAGACCAAGAATAGCAAAAGCAATTCTAGGCAACAGTGACAAGGCAGGGGGGTATGACAATCCCCAATTTGAAACTATACTACAAAGCTACTATGATAAAAACAGCACGGCACTGGCAAACAGATCTGAGAATCAGTGGCACAGATTAGGAGCCAGAAAGAACTCCAGACATACTCAGCCACCTCATCTTTGACAAAGGAGCTAAAGACTTTCATTGGAGGAAAGACAGCCTCTTCAATAAATGGTGCTGGACAAACTGGGTTTCAACTTGCCAAAGATTAAAACAAAACCCATATCTCTCACGATGCACTAAACTAAAATTGAAATGAATCAGATCTAAATATTAAAAGAAGAACACTAAACCTGCTGGAAGATAGGCTAGGTAGCACTCTTGAATACGTTGGCACAGAAAAGGACTTTATGATCATAGCTGGTATCTTTGACTGCCTTCTTCTGCTATCCTTTCCGTGTTCCCTCGGTCTCCAGAAAGCACCTCAGCAATCTCAGTCCTTTGCCTGGCAGGGTGACTGTATTCCTGAATTTCTGGGCCTGCCTTAATAGCAGGGCATGGTGTTATCAGGAGACATACCTTTGCCTGAGGGTGACTGTATTCCTGAATTTCTGGGCCTGCCTTAATAGCAGGGCATGGTGTTATCAGGAGACATCCTAAGGGACCTCCTGCCTCCAAGTACAATCTTCCTTCCTCCTTTTGGAAGCAACATGCTGGTTTTCCCTTGGTAGTCTGGGTCATCACCCTTCCAACCCCATAGCTCCCTTTCTTCCTCCGTGACTCAGAAGCATGATGACCAAATGACCAAGGGGAAGTCTTAGCTTCCATTTCAGTGGAATCCTTTTTGTGCTTCCTGATACAAGGCATGCCACCTCTGGAACCAAGACTTCTAGGAGAGCAGAGCAACGGTTAAGGAGACCCGAAGCAGAACTTTTGCTAGTGGGTCACTAGTGGTATTGGTGAGTGACACCATTCACTCTTCTCCTCCCCAGTTTGTGGCCACCGAATCAGTCACCCACAGACACACCTGGCACTGCACTAGTCTGCTAGGAGGGTCTACCTCAAGTCGATGGATCACAGTTAAATTGTTTACCATTTGTAAGTTTTCATTCTCAGGCCATTCTGAGCAGTGTCATGACGCCAGCCTGTCTCATTCCCCCAGAAGTGTGAGTCGCCTTTGTCCAGCGTAGTCTCACTTTAACCACTGTACACCCTCAGTCGCGAGGCAGCCATCACGGAGCAGATCAGTTGTCACAAGACTGTAGTACTTGCGTTCAGGTAACTCTTATTTACTTAATAATGGCCCCAAAATACAATTTGGATATGCCAAAGAGAAACCATAAAGGGCTTCCTTTAGGTCAAAAGGCAAATGTTATTGATTAAGTAAAGAAACAAAATCATATGCTGATGTCACCTTGCTTGTATTATTCGCCTCACTTGGTCTTACCATGAAGCACCACCCCACCCCATCACAAGCAGGGGAGATGAGTACAGAACGACAGATACATCGAGAGAGACAGAGAACAGTCACAGGATTTATCACAGTGTACTGTTATAATTGTTCTACTTTTTTAACTTTTTACTGTGCTAATTTATAAAGCAACTTTTATCATATGCGATGTGGTCATAAAGTTTGGTGAATGCTTAAATTTTTTTAAATAATTGCAGTAAAAGATACATTGCCATTCAGCCCCTAAAAACACTTCCCTTTGATCTGAATACACCTATCCCATCACGCCTGCCATTGTCTGAAGCAGTCGGGAGTCATTTTCGTGAATGTCTTTAATTGTATTGTCAGGCTACCTTTAACCCTGAATTGATTGAAAACATTTATCCTCATGGTCATCTTGACGTTAGGGAGAGCCAGAAGAAGCTGATGCCAGATCCAGTGAATTAAGTAGAGAGGATGCACTGATGTTTTTACGGCCTTTCCCCTCGATGGTACCCAGCAGCAGCATTCACCGTGTTCTTGTCAGTCACACCTCATAAAGACGTTCACAGACACACATGCCAGGAAAAAGTGTGGCATGTGTAGGACCTGGTACTGTCTTCAGTTTCAGACATTCACAGCAGTCCTGGAAAGCAACTACCATGCACAAGGGCCGCCATATCAACAGTGTACACCAAAAAATACCAGCAAAAGGAGAGAGGATCTCAGCAATACTTTTTATGTCCCTGTTTGACATTATGAAACCCTACTCCAAAAAATACATCACATAAACTGACTTTAGCTACCTTCCACCACAGACAAAAAATAATTTCACATATATCAAAGGCTATGGTGATAGGACTAAAGCTATAAGATTACTAAAGAAAAACTTAGACTCTTAATATTGGATTAAATAAAGATTTCTGAGACCAGAAACAAAGAGGTTTGATGAAAAAAATGAAATCACTTATGACATAAAAATACACATGAACAAATACATATTGCATATTATTGAACATATACAACATCATGAAGATTTTTGATTATACACAACAAAGGTATCTTCTCCAAAGTATCGCTCCTCCCTCTCATAAAAATTATATTTAGTGCATAATACTTTTAATTTTTTGTATGGATTTTTTTATTAATGCGTTCTGGCTTAAACACATTGTAAGTAAAATTTTGCTTTCTAATAATTTTTAACCCCATAAAGTAATGCCCAGAATATCCAAGTCAGAGATCTAACAGTGTCACTGAAATTCCAGAAGGAAAAGAAAAAGAATGTGATTCTGCAAAACTATTCAAAGACTAAATTGAAATCTAAAGCTATTCACATAACTAAAAATGTCTCAAATTCACCAAAAGACATAAATTTGCAGGTGAGAAGCTACGTGTGAAAGGCCTGGTGGCCCAGAGCCCTAACCCGAGGACTCTGGTGACTTTCTCCCTGAGTCCCCTGTACTCCCCCATGCAGTGCAGCGCGGACAGCACTAAGCGTCCTTGGGAGCACCCTGCTTGCTCTGTAGCTAAGAGATGTACTGAATTAGGTAAGAATCACCATCCAGTTGTTTCCTCAGCATGGTGTAATTTCTCAGTGTGAGCTGGGGTGGGGAAGAGAGGTACCTGTCTGCAGGGCCATGCAGGCCAGCACTGCAGGGCAGACACAACTACTCCATCGAAACAGAAATTGGCACTTCAGATTCTTCTTAGACATGACATGCTCAACCCATTTTTAAGTTACAGTAGATATTTACTATAAGAGCTTTTCCCTGCACCCATATATAATGTTCCAGTTTACACAGCATCTCTACCTGAAGGACCACAATGTACCCACCTCTAATAAGGGAAGACTGGCATTCACACAGCGATTTTAAAAACGGATTCTGAGAAGGTAATGCCTTCCTATGACACGTGCGAAGAAGGCCCAGAGTGAGGCTGGAGGCTTGGGCATGCAGGTGAAGACCCTCTGCACCTGGCCAAGCTGCTCCCCTGTGGTTGGGACTCATTCTCCAGATGACCCTGGAGGGTGCAGGGAGGGAGTCACAGAGGGCGCTGCTGTAGCTAAGCAGGGAGGTAGGGCTGCTCACCCGTCGTGTGCACTTGCCCTCTGACTGGCACTGTGACAGATGTCTGTGAGTCGGGGTCCACGGCCCTCGCCTGTCCCATCCAGCGGCTCTAGATGTCCGATCCCCCAGGGAAGAGCTCGCCGTGCCTTGTCCTTCCCTTCCTCCTTATTCTCCACAACCGTCTTTCGTGCATCTTCCTTCTGAACTAGTCATCTTCAATATCGAGCAATAGGACACAGTCGAAATCAAATCGAAATTGACTACCAGTATTAACATGGCTAAATTGATTACCAGTTGTCATTCAAAGCAAAAATATATCCTTCAATGCTAAAAATGTGCCGGCTACTATGCTGGGTAACAAGCAAAGATGGCATGATCCAATTTTGCTTTTAAAATCACACAGTCTATAAGATCTAGCTTTGCTTTGAAAGATCACACTGTCTATTCAGGGCGACCAACATTTAAGACAGATGCAATGCATTGTCACAATGCAAAAAGCAGGTTACAGGGACAGCACAGACGGAAGATGCTCCTGTTGTCCATTCCTCGGTGCGGGGTGCTGACAGGGAGGTGGCTCAGAAGGAGTAGTGCTGGAGCTGGCACAAGAACAGCAGGGGCTCACACTGGACAGGGAGGGAGACGCAGGGAAGAAAGGACAGGATTACTAGGGAGGAAGTATGTGAGACAGCGAGCAGCCCACCGCATACAGGAGGACTGCAAGCTGTGTCTGTGCTGTAAAAATATGTACAAGACAAATGATGAACTCGAGATAGCTAGATAGACAAAAAGGGCCCATTTGGACACAGCTGCCCCTTTATCTATGATGGAATTATGTCTTCACAAGCCAGCATAAGTTGAAAATGTCCTAAATGAAAATGCCGCGCGTACCCCTGTCCTGCTGAACTTCTGGCCCAGCAGCAGAACACTAGAGAGCGTCGTTCATTTCCCCTGGCAATCACAGGGCTGATGAGGTGCTCAGGTTCACTGCCACCGCTCAGCATTGTGAGAGAATCCTAGTGCATATGAAAAATATCCATACTCAAAGCGTGGTTTCTACTGAACACATATTGGTTCCACAACGTCATTAAAGAAGACAAATCTTAAGTTGAACTGAGCAGGGGGTGTCAGCACTTCAATGTTGTTGTAAAACTATTGTGAGAAATGTTATTGAATCCTTGCTTACAAATTGTACAGACATTAAAATTAAAAGTAACCACCAGGCTGGTGGCACACACCTGTGATCCCGGCACCCAGGAGGCTGAGACAGGAGGATAGCCAGCCTGGACGACACAGCAAGACCCTGTCTCAAACAAAAATGAAATTAAATCTAACGGTGACTGTAGAGGAGTCACATAAAAGCACCTTGTTAGAGAGGGGGTGTTGGAGAGCTCTCGGCCTTGTTACCTGGTGGCTGTCCCCACACAGGCATCACCACAGTGCTCACCATGACCACGCTCAGCACCATTGCCAGGAATTCACTGCCACGAGTGTCCTACGTGACTGCCATGGACCTCTTCGTGACCGTGTGCTTCTTGTTCGTCTTTGCTGCTCTGATGGAGTACGCCACCCTCAACTACTACTCCAGCTGCAGAAAGCCAGCCACCACCAAGAAGAAAACGTCGGTGAGTGGCAAGAGGGCAGAGGCTCCCTGGAAGGCAGTGGGGTCAGTTTAAAATAAATGCATGTTTAAATGAAATTTCCCAAAGATCTTACAAAATAGGGGATAAACTCAACAAGCCTCTGAGAGCTGGGCTGGGTTCTGGAGATGTGAGTGTGGCCCTCAGCATCTCCCGGCACCAGCTCTGACAGCCGCCCGGTTGAGGTGGACCTGAAAGACTGCTCTCCAGGCTGGGAGTACCTGGGGTGCAGATACCCTCAGCAGCTTTCTGATTCTTTCTTTTCTTGCAGTTGTTACATCCCGAGTCCTCAAGATGGATTCACGAGCGCATAAGCCTACAAACACCCTCGGTACGTACAGCCTATGTGTGCCAGTGTTTCTGAGAACCTTTCCTAAACTAAGGCTGCCTTTGACAGTGATGCTCCTGCTTAGGTGTGCATGAACTGAGAACCAGAGAATACACACAAGTCCTTCAAAAATGTGTTTTCTGCTACTTCAAGAAAATCCAATTTGGAGCAGTTGCAAAATAGAGGAGAAAATCACTCACAATCCTTCTATACAGGGATTAGAGTGTAGCCTACATGTACCTATTTCTAACTTTCTTCTGGCGTTCAAATAATATATACTCATGCATTTGAAAAAAAGAAATCATAATCTATATATTTTTCTCTACCCTCTTTGATAACTAAAAAATGTACTTAGGTTTCTGTGTCATATGTATTTTCTAGGATTGTTTTGATGATTGAATTATGTGCTCATACTAGACAGACACACGGGCAATCGAGGTTGGATACTGAGCTTCTCCACAATTTTTCACTAATGCACACATTTTTACTACTCCCGCTTGGCATGTGCCTGTGGCGATTTACTTAGTTATAAACTCCTAGAAGCAGAGTGTGGGCCAGGGCTTGTGTGGGTCTCACCCACCCCCGCACAGGACGCACAGCCAGCTCTGAGAACATCTCGCTGTGGTTCCATCACCAGCAGAACGTGCACCCGGGGACTTTTCCCACTGCATTTCAGTACTGGTAGCTTCATACTTTCATTTGTTTGTTTTTTATTTATATTTTTGTTTTGTGAGCTGTTTTCCAGTGTTTTTTAACTTTTCTTAGCATTTTAAAGTAGCGATAAATCAATCATGTCATTTATTATTTCATATTATGTCTCACTGAACATCTATAGTATCTATAATTTTTTTTCTTTTTTCTTTTCCTTTTTTTTTGGTACCGGGGATCAAACACAGGACCTTGCTGAGCTAAATCCCCAGCCCTGTAATTTATGTGGTTACGTTTGGAACATATTGGGGGTAATAACGTACTGTGGTTTATAGTCTGTATTTCATTGGCAGTACTGTCGTTTTCCTGTCTTCTGCCTTTTCCTACACGCCTGGTTTTGAGTTCCATGTTGTCAAGTCCATCGCCCTTTTCTGCTGTGGCTCTGCTTCTTGGGTCCAGCTGGGGAAGGTCTCCCGCTCCTCCTCACAGTGACTCAGACACGCTCAGGCTCTGCACGCATGTCTCAGAATCAACTCATGTTCCGTTCATAACACCTGACATTTTAGTACACGGTTTAAGGTAAGAATGAAGCTTTAGAGAAAAACAGAAATATATCTTTAAATCATACATATGAACTACCACTCCTACATATAACAGGTTTTGTATGCAGTTGTGGCTTTTGTTCTTTTAGACATGTCAATTTGCTAATTATCCTGAATATTTTGTGCCCACCCATGCACCGCAAGCGGCCTTCTGATGGTCACCCGCGCTGTGTGCCGAGCATCGGTGCCTGTTTCATAAGCAGACTCTGTGGTCACCCCTGCTCGGCCAGTGGGGGGGTCCCCGAAGGCGGCCGGTGCGGAGGCCGGTCTGAGAGCGGTGCGGCCGACAGCAGCGGACCGGGTGGACGTGGTGAGGAAGGGACACGGTGGGAGCCAGCAGCGCATTGGCCCATACAGCCGGGAGCCAGGAGTTGTAGAAACGATGTTGCCAGAAGAAAGGAAAAAAAAACCCCAACACAAAGCTAGAAAACACTCAAGGAAGTATCATGACCTTGAAGAAAGTGCAAAGAAAAACAGTGCAAGGCAAAGGGCGGCCGGCCAGGTGAGAGGACGCAATCGGAGACGCTCAGCGGAGGGCAAGTGTAGGACAGCCCGGAGAAAAGGAAGCTCTCCAGAGGACGGGTGGTGGCTGCCACCGTCGAAACCCTCGCTCGGTTTCGTTACTAACCGCAGCAGAAAGGCAAGTGAGCAGCCTCCCAAGAGAGAGCGGGTAGGGCCAGGCTCCACAGGCCCAGCAAATTGCTCCCGCTACTCTGAGCCTCAGTTTCCTCGCCTGCCAAATGCAATGTTCGAACACTCGGCCCGAGCCCTGGGAACACAGTGCTCCCAAAGGCTGCAGGCATCACTGTGCGCATTGGTGAGAGCGGAGGAGTCAGGGACCCAGCTTGGCCAACGGTGGCTTCGGGGAAGCTCTCATTAAAATCTCTATCTTGCACACAGTTTGAAATATGAATGAAAACGACAGGGATTCCTATAAACGGTGCTTAAACAGCAAAGTCAGCTGTCGAGCTGTGTAAGTTCCCATCCTAACTTTCGTTTCAGCCCCATAAAATGGAATTCATTTCATTTCCAATCACTGAGCTTTTAAAACATAGAGCTCTCTTGAATACACTACTTTCCACTGTGTTTCCGTGACCGTAGCTTTGAGTTCTCTAAATGAAGGGAGAGCTTTCTCTCACCACCAGAATCCTTGCCGCTGCTTTGCCTGCAGCCGCCTGCAGTCACCCTTTACATCTCAAGACCTGTCCCCGACCCTGCCCAGTCGGAATCACCATCTTCCCTGGGGGCTGCCCTGCCTGGCCGTGGCTGTTCTGCCCCACACTTCGCTCCCCCGGTAGGGGCTGCACGGCTCCCAGGAAGGAAGACACCGTTGATGAGCATCTGGCTGAGGGTGCCAGTATACACGGGAAGGAAATCTTTGATGCGATCGTTACCGAATAAAGGCAGTTTTCCCAATGGTGCTTTTGAAAGAATGTAGATTTCTTCAGAAGCATTGAGGTGGAGGCAGCGCTTGGCCCTGTTTCAGCAACCCCTCCTGGTAACTCCACATCCACTTGGCTTTAAGAACCGTTAACCTAGCGGAGTCTTGTTCTTCTTAGAGCTGTAGGGGCACTAGGACTTCCACTTCTGCTCATGCCCCCAGACTTGTGGAGGGAGAGCTCAGCTCACAGGAGCACCCTCCTGCCACAGGAGGAGAAGGCGGGGCCAAGGGAGGGTATACTTGGTGCACAGCATCTCACTTTAGGTCGGAATCCTGCATGGCTTCCCCTGATATGAGACTGCACCATAGGGCTTAGGGTAGTGGCTTTGGGTGCTGGACTCTTCTACCTCCTCGCCCTGACTCATGACTCCACATAGCCGTGAACAGTGTCAAATTAAGATTCAGAAAGAGAAGGCAAAGCAATTGTGTTCCTATTCTCCTCTCATAGTAGTTTTGGGCAGAGCAGAAGGAGATGCTCGGGAGGCTTTCTGACAATTTTGCATGGGAAGCCAGGGCAAAGAAACAAGCCAGCCGGTGATCACCGAAGCGGGCATCTACGTCCACCTCTCCTCGGATGCGGGTTCCAGGTTCCCTGGGCTTGCCTGCCTCAGCTCTGCCAGCACAAATGAAACTGAAGTAGACAGGCAAAGAGGCTTCTCCATGCTCTTCTGTTATGCAGTCAGGTGCAGGAGTGTAACCTCCTAACAGAACTCAGTCGAATGCACAGAGCATAGTTCTTGGGAAGAGCTTGGAGAGCTGTCCGAAGAACTGATGAGTTTAGGCTGCTTCTCAAGGTTAAAAATGATCCGTCGCGTTTGAGCGAGCAGGGAGTCATTCTGCCTCCCTCACCTGCCCCACACTGGTCTTTCCATGTCGGGAAGACAGCTTAGGAAGCCGGAAAGAGAACGTCCCGGGCACACACAGCCAGTTGCCCTGCCTGACCCGAGAAGCTCTGCCCAGCTGCCCCACACTGAAAGCTGTCTTCTTACTTGAACTACGCGAGAAAAGAACATTCCCTCATCATTCCTGTACACCACATTTTTAATAATTAATTAGTAAAAATGCCACATTTATCTAATATATGTACTGCTTCACATTTAAAAATAAATATATGATATGTACATGTCGTTACCAACCAATAGAAAAGCAGGCAGAATAGCGATCTGAAATGACTAAAATATATCTGAAATATACCCAACTTCCTTCACTCATACGGTTGGGAAATGCAGGCTTTGAGCTGGCAGCACAGAGTTCCCTGCATTGAAGCTGCCCACATGGAAGGACAGAACCTGACCTGTGCTGGGAGGGGTGGGGTGGACACATCTGCCCTCTGCTTCCTTCACAGCAGATGAAATAGTGCCCACTGCCCACTCTGCTTGGACTGTTTCCAGGGCATTTCCTAACCATTTTACGCGACTCTTGTTGCCTACAGAACTATTCTCTCCTGGATATGAGGCCACCGCCACCTGCAATGATCTCGTTAAACAACTCCGTGTACTGGCAGGAATTTGAAGACACCTGTGTCTATGAGTGTCTGGATGGCAAAGACTGTCAGAGCTTCTTCTGCTGCTATGAAGAGTGTAAGTCAGGGTCTTGGAGAAAAGGGCGGATCCACATCGACATCTCAGAGCTGGACTCCTACTCCCGGGTCTTCTTCCCCACGTCGTTCTTGCTCTTTAACTTGGTCTATTGGGTGGGATACTTGTATCTCTAAGTGCCACCCATGGTGATGAGTGAGGAGTGCTTGGTCCACACTCTACCTTCTGTCATCCCCAAGACCAGTAGCGATCAATTGGGAGTCTCCAGGAAGAACACTGCTTGGTTCATCCTGAGTTATAAATTACCTTTCAGCATCACAGGATGTATCTGGCCAATATTCCTAATATCACACACACACACACACACACACACACACACACACACACACACACTGAATTTAACTAAATTCTATCCAAAGTGGTATTCTTGCTAATCCTATTGCGTCTGTAGCTTGGTGATGCTTATGGATTGTTTTCAGTATTAGAAACAGCTGCTGATTACCCTTGCAAAGAAATCTATTAAAGGGGCACGCAGATATATGAGTAGCTCTCTTGGGCCCCACCCTGTGTACCTCTCCTTCATGGCCCTTGGCACCAGCACCCACCTGAGTGAAGCACTCCTGGCAGAGATGCACTCACATTGGTCTCGGCCCTGTGCACAAGTGCTGAGTTCAAGTGCGGGCTGCAGTGAGTCCTGGGGCCCATCTCCCCTCTCTGCAGCCTCTTTTGCTCTGGCACCAACCTTAGCCAGTCTTTCTTGACCTCACAATTCACCCTAGGCCTGGGAAGAGTGTGCATATATCTACAAGTTTCCTTTGAGGAAGAAATTCTCACATTGCTAAAATCAAAGATGTTGATTATCCATGAATATTAAGAGGTAATTACTTTATTCCACGCTACCAAAAGTCAACGGTATTTGAGGGTTGGCTTCTTGGAGTAGTTCAACTTTAACTCAACATTTCCCCTTAAGAGTTATGTTCTACGAGACCAGAGCTCAACCTCAAAATATGTGTCTCACTTATGTTGTTATTATAGTTCAATAATTATTTTCACCGGGAAAAAAGAGACACAGCATGCACAAACCTTTGCTTTGAAATCACACTCCAGAGTATGAAAGAAATTTAAGTAGAATTTCAAAAATTTCTTAATGAATATTAATTTTCAAATTAAACCAATTTTAGATGCAAACAATGGGTAATGACTCACACCAGTTATACATTTTGATGAGCAAAAATCATGTTTGTACTTTCAAAGCCTGGATACATAGCAAAATCCCAAAGGAAAAAAATTCCCCAATCAATATACTTTTGATATTTTTATAAAACAAATCCAATTTGCTTCATGATATTAGTTCTTTGTTACAACTGGAGGCCAATATGTACTTTATACGAATCTTTCAAAGCTTCTCTTCAGCAGTAGGGGGGGAAAAGTCCTACCAGTTAGTTAATAATGCTTTGGCATTATTAAAATTTTAGCATTAGCATTTCTTTGCTTCCCAATTGTCTCACAGAGGAAACCGAATTGATTATATTGAAAACTATTGTACATAGTATTTAGCATTTCTTTGCTTCCCAATTGTCTCACAGAGGAAACCGAATTGATTATATTGAAAACTATTGTACATAGTATTGTACATTACTAAAATTAGTAAAACATTATCAGAGAAAGTACATCAAAGTGCTGATTCACACAATTTATTGGATGGATACCAGAGAAGGGAATGAGAGCGGAAGAGACCAGAAAGACTGGAAATAAATAGGTCGTTTTATTCTTATTAACATTTTAACGTTGTTGCATATCAAGTGAATGACAAAATATCGATATGCCACCACCCAGTTTTCAAGGATCAGATGTACTCAGTATGAAATATCCAGTCTCGTTTGTACTTCTACAGTGTCTTTTGGTTTGATAGTTGCTCCACAAGCCACAAGCCTACTTAGCAAAGTGAATTTAAAACATAAAATAATACTTGTGGAGAAATAAGTTGAAAAACAACGGCTGAAATGAAAAGTCTCTGCTCCTGGAGAATTTCACAATTAATATCCTAGTCTGTTACTCAAACATTATGGACCTGGTGCCCCTGTGCGGACCCCACAGGAATACCTGTCACACCATGGCACCGAGCACAGAGGGCGGTGGTACAGACAATTTCCAGCGTTGTACATTTGTAATTTCTAACAGTATGAAGAGTTTTAACCTGATACATCTTAAAATAAGGTCTAGAAAAAAATCTTCCGGTAAAATTCTTTTTGAGAGGAAAATGACTTACAGGCATTTTATAGCCTAAAATGTTACCTTAAAAACAATTCGACAGATACCTCTTATTTGAGAAGGTCTCAGTATTTGTAAGTCATTAACAATTTTCATGCGATTTTAGGAAAGGATGGGTAGAGGGAAATATCCCAAGAGCCTCTGTTTTCTGCAGCCTGCCTCTTTCCTCCTGACTTCAGCCAACCTGTGAAAACACGGTGGTTCATGGCGTCTACTCCATGAAGGAGAGCCTTTATCTCAAAAAGAATAAGAGACGTTTGTGCAAGAGAGAATAAGATAGATTCCTGCCTACTTAGCAATCTGCCCACTACGAAGTCTTACAGAACACCCCCAAGAGCATTCCAATGCCTATTTCTCTGCAAAATTTATGTTGTCCAAGTTAATATCAACTCCTGAGATGACCTGTTCCGTCCATAGCACAGGAGAGAAACATGTCTTACTCGAGTGCAGAGCTCGGGGCTTTTAAAGCAAAAAAGAGAAAGGAGAAAGGAGGGGGAAAGGCAGGGCAAAAAGTGAGAGAGATGTGTCCCCTTTAACGGACAGCCCCCTTACCAGGACACTCGATAGTGGGGGACCGTGCAGCTTCACCCAGTTGCTTTGCACGGAGAGGTGGGGGTGCCTGGGGTGGAAGATATTGGAGGGATCCGTGTTCAAAGGTGCTACTGTGTTCCTCACGTTGAGAAAGGCTCTCAATCAAGAAGATGACAGCTTCATGTTTTGACAAAGATGCCAAATTTTCAACACTGTGCATCATTCTTAAGACTGTGACTATCTCCCCTTTAAGCTGCATCCTGGCTGAGGGCAAAAAAGAAAAACTAAAAAAGCATCTGACACATTAATGGAATTAGAGCAAAATGTCTCCTCAGAACCTAGAAAGTTTCAGCACCAGGAACCAGAACAAAGACTCCCCAAATGCTGGAAAAGAAGGGTAACAATGTTACTATAATTTACTCTTAACTCAGCCAATACTGCCCCTGATACACCCAAAATATGCCTTAAAAAAGCTCACATAATACACATCTTGTAAGATTTTCCACTTCCTGCAATCAGCTCCCTCATGCCAAGTTTCTCTTTTATGCATAGATAAAAATAGGATTTTATTTCTTTATATGATAAATGGTGTTATCCTTAATTTACATCAGATCAATTCCATAGAGAATTTTTGTGGAAGCTTTGATGGAAGAAATGCTTGTCCTGGGTCACAAAGCACGTTCATGACATCAATGGGGAACAGGGCTGATCTGAAGGCCAGCACCTAGTCCTGCGGCGGGGCTGAGAGGGTCCATGCAGAATCTTCACACCTAACCATTTTCCCAGTGGAAGGAAGGCTTTAGACGTGATGGTTTGCAGCTCCGCAAATGTCATGCTCTGGAAACAAGGGAGGAAGGGGCTATAACCCCATCTCACAGTGGCCAAAGCTCACCATAGGCAGGAAGAGACAGGCCACTCTTCCAAAGGGCTAGAACACAAAACAAGTGAAACCTCTCTCTCCTTGATTATGTTTATCTCAGCTGCCAAACTGAAAACTTCTTGTGATTCCCTTAAAGACTTGAGCAATTATAACTGGTGTCCAGCCATTACCCTCCTCATTCTGCACGTTAGCTCAGAGCTCACAAGTCGCCAAGTTCATGGCATTCCAGCGGATCTCACAAGGTTGTACCTCCACTTTCTAGTCAGAAATGGTGAGTCACTGAAGATGAACGAAATCTTAGGTAAATACACTTTGAAGTGTTAAACTTCTTTGTGATTATAAACTGTCCATTTGGGCCCCAGAACTCTAGCCCTTTACAAAATACCCACAGAAGTGTCTGAAATAAGGGAGAAGAAACTGATTAGGACACAATGCAAATGTTCAGCCCACTTCAGACTGAGGAAGTGTGGCATCTGCACGGATTTCCTTTTCTCGGTTTGGCTGGTAGGAAACATTCAGTCTTAAAGAGGTGAGCAGGACCTGCGTATTTGTATTCTCCATGATATGACATCCAAAGAAGTCAAACAGTAACGAGCTGCATCTCCGATCTATTATTGGTTTTAGCTTTTATTATAAAAAATATTATAGGGAGAAAAAATGTATGTCCTAGGATGCTATATTTTGCTCTTTTCAGAATACTCAACATTTCTTCTTTGCTTTTCTTCCTAACAAGTACGATCTGCCCTGTGGATCTGTGGATTCGGAATCTATGATAAGAACCAACCAAGAATGGGAAAACTTTTTTCTTTAAATTGCACCTGTACGAAACATGTACAGATCTTTTCCCTTGCCATTATTCCCTAAATGACTATTTGTACAACATTTGCATATGTTAGATATATGATAAAGTACTTAGAAGGGTTGTGCAGGTTCTGTGCAAACACGGCAACGTTTGTATTATAGGGCTAGAGTAGCCAAGGACTTTGGTCTCCCCGGCACTCCTGGAACCAACCCCCAGCAGACTCTGAGGGAAAACTGTAATGTTTACATTTCTTGTGACAGCCTTAGACCCAGATTTCTCCTGTTGCCTCACTGATTGAACTTCCATCAGGAGCCTGTGGTTTGGTTTTTTTTCAGTCCCCAAAATACCAGACTTCTCAAAATGACAATCTTGCCATTAACCACTTTTTCACTAAAGGACTTCTGTCCCCACTTTCCATTAAAACGTATCCCATACACAGAAATGTTTAGAGTCGCCTCCCAAGTCATTGTTGGAAAATAATCTTTGGACCTTATTGTCACTTTATAGACATTGCAAGAATCAGGACAGATGGCAGTAAGGAATGAGGCCATGGGGCCGGGGATTCAGCTCAGTGTGCCACTGCCTCCCTCGCAAGTGCAAGGACCTGAGTTCAATCCCAGGTACCAAAAAAAAAAAAGGAATGGGGTCATAACACAAGGGGAGCAGGACCCCACTAGCTTTTCCTTCATATGAAGACAGGCTATGCTTCCAACCTAAAGTTTGGTTCCTTGGTCACAGCAAGTAGCAAGGGTCTTCCAGGATGGCTGGGATGAACCATGGAGAATATCCTGTCTCAGTTAATAAACCCTTAATTAGTAGGAAAATCTGTCTACCTGCCAGACTACCATCTTGGAAGCTGAAGTCTGTTCCCCAGTCTGGGAGAGCTGTTGGAAAGCAGAGCATTTGGCTTTGGATTTAAAAAGATTTACTGAAGCCATCTTCATAGAAAGTCTTCACCTACTGCCAGAGTCTGGTTTTCAGGAATAAAAGATGAAAGCTTTGATTATGTATTACCACAGGCTATTGTCCAGTATTCTTTACGTTTAGAAGGGGAGTTTTCTGCTCGATGTCATCAGTGACAGCGGCCCCAGTCCACAGAGCACTTGCACAGGAAGCTTAGCGCCAGAGCGGGCTGGCCCCGCGTCCCTCACCTATTAGGTAACCGACACAGTGACTGGGCTCTCGATCCTCCAGGGTGGCCTGGGAGGACACAGACAGGCTAAAGAAACAGCATTCTTACCTGATTTTCCGTGTAACTAAAAGAAAAATAATGTGGTGAACATGCACATGCCTTGCTGACTGAAATTCCAAGTGGTCAGCCGGATGTGGCAGATTTCTTAACGAAATAAACTGCGACACCCCATCATCACCCTCTCCGTGTTCCTTCTTACCCTTCACTGTTGATTCCACACAAGTTTTAATGTTTTCTCCAAGCTACAACAAAACATTCAAGAAAAAATAGAAGAGCTTTATCTTATCTAACTATGAAGTAGATCACAATCCAAAATTTTGCTTACCTAAAACATTTTTCAGATCTGCTTTTTTCTCAGAGTTCCTGTCTACTGTGGCTCAAGCCGAATTTGAAATCACTGCAGTCTGCCCAGTTTTGGTTTCTTGGTAAAACTCGTGCTCTTTGTTATACCTCGGTGGCTTTTTATTTCCTTTCTTAGTGACAACATTGGAATTGATTAAGAACCATCTTTTCCCTGAAATGAATTGCATCTTTGGAAACCAAATTTTGTTACCCAAAAGAACATTCATTATGCTGCTTTTCATATCTTTTGGTTCTAGGCTTTAGTTCCCAGTGATTTATCTTGACTTTTTTACTTTGAATAGAAATAGACACTGAATTATATGTATTAGTGAAGTTTATAGCGTTTACTATTATATTATCTCAGTTTAGAACAACTATTTTATTAAAAACATTCTGAAAGACACTTTCCAACATTCTGGATCTTTACAATGGCTAATTTTGTGCTAGTGAAAAATGTTTACATGCTACTATGTTTGTACAATTACATGTTTTTCTTTATGGACAGCTCCGGACTGAGCCAAGGTTTGCTTTTCGTGTGTATCCTACGAAGGATTCTAAGAGGGTACTGACTGCGGGGATCAGAATTGTATCCGGTTTGGATCAGGAGCCATCTTGTGCTTACACGCAGTGATGTGTATATCTGTGTGTGTATGTATGTATGTACAGTGGTAAAACTGGACAACTTATTAATGTGTGTACTGCTCTACCCATCGCCCCAAATTTAGCTGAAACAAGTAGGAGCACAGTTTCCTAGCGATAGCCTATTAGCTTACTAAGCCTCTGTTTAAGGCAAAAGGAAGAAAGGGAGAGGGAGAGAGGAGGAGGAAGAGACATAACATGACAATCTCCACAGCGTCTGAAAATGTGGGATCACGTTCTTTCTTTAAAAGCATCAGTGGTCAGTAGTCTGGAATCCAAGCCGGCCTGCCTCGCTCTGAGAGCACAGAGGCCCCGCGGGTGTCACTGCGGGTCACCTCCGAGCTGAGCCAGTCCTGCTCCTCCGCACTTTGCCGGAGAGCCCGTGAAAGCCGAGTCCTTCGGCTCTCAGAACCAGAGGGAGGGCGGGTGGCCTTGCTCGCCTCGCGGGAAGCCGCTCCAGAGCACAGGGCAGCGTCGCCAGCCTGGGTCTCGGTGTGGGAACCGGGGCGG